AGCCCGTCAGTTCCAGTAAGTGAATCTGCTGAGGCTTTATCAATTTAAAAAGCATAACACAGTTATAGGAAAGCAAGTTGAAGTCTACAGTCACTGTAAAACTCTGCATCAGCAGCTTTGTCAAGGTGGAGGAAAAAAAAGTTCTTGTTTTCAGAAGTTACCATTATGTGGAACTTTTTGCATCATATGCAGTAGACAAGAGAGCTTTAGTCCTCTGAACTGATATTTATTAGCAGAGTACCTGTTTAGTGCTATAATTTAATGTATTTTTAATTTTTCAGAAGAATAGTCGTGACTTTTAGGTTGTGATTTCTCTTGTAGATTGAGAAGGAGGGAAGTGGGGCAGGGAGGCAAATTGCTTTCTTACTAAACAGTATAGGTCAGCTAAATTTGGCCCAAAGAAACTCACGTCAGTCTCCTCTACCCATGACTCATTTCTTCCCTCTCGTGCTCATATGGTCTGTTGCCACAGCTACCCTCTGAGTTATACAAAGGACTAATTAACTTTCTTTATGGAAAAGCCAAGACTCTTGGTCCTTCCTTCACATGGAACTGTGGTCCACTGTGTATCTCCTAGAGGCTTCCTGCTCTTGGTGCTTTCTGGAGTGAAAGAGTTTAATAAAGAGCATTTGATGTAAAGACAAGACACTGTCAGCATCTCATGAAGAAATAAAACAGGACCAAAAAGCCATAAAAATATGCTTTGGGAGACTCCACTGCTGGGAATGTCATTTTAGCAAGGGGGCCACAGTAGTTTCAGCTGCAGAGCAAGGGTATTGTTTTGCCTTCCACAAGTGAAAAAAAAGAAAATTTCATTATTCTCATGACCTTCATCAGCCCTATTTACCTGGGAACCTCTGCAAGCTTGTCAGATATGTAGGGGCTCCAGAGCAAAGACTGGAATTAACTGGGCTATTCTAGACTACCTTTTGAAGTGTGGGCTGAAAATCTATCTGGAAACCTGCCCCTCATGCCTATTGCACGTTGGTCCAATAGGGACAGGGATAATCCAGGAAATGTATTTCTTTTCCAAAAGGCTTGTGGAGGCTCAGAACTGAAGTGGAACTGGAGAGGTTCAGACTTGTCAGGGTCACGCTGCTGATGTGGCTTGAGACTCCAGATGTTTCATTCACTGTGTGGCTTCACTGTGTTTGCAGGGCTGCAAGGAGATGGCAGCGTGGGATTTGAGGGCCAGCTGCTGTGCAGATTTGGGCAAAAATCACCCAGGCCAATCATGCACCCCTTTTAGCAACAACCTGTCTTTGTATTCAGCACTGGGAAGAAGTAGGACAGAGGACCTTTTGGGGATGTGTAAAAACTTTCTGGTCAGTTTTGTGACTGGGACAATCAAATTTTTCTGTGTGTTAAGATATGCTGTTGCTTTCAAAGTAATTACTTAAATATTATTGCTGCTCTGTCTTTCATCACTCTGCTTGCATTGCTTTGGGCTAGTTTGCTGTTTTTCTCATTTTTACCCAGTCTTCAGAGTATTTGACTCAATCTTTCCTTTATTTCTTGGTCTCTTATCAATCTAAATCTGAATGCAAATACAAATAAAAGCATCATTTTTATTCATAAGCTGAGAGTCAAAAATAAACATACAGTTTATTTTGAATTTGAGCAGAACTGTTTCAGTGCTATAAATTGTTTGAATGCAGCCTCAAAAATCCAACTTCCCTATAGAAAACAGCACTTGCCCCATCATTAAGGATGAGTTTCTCTCCGTGAATGTACCTTGTTACTAGTTTCACACTGAATTGATAAGAATATTGGGCAGAGTTGCAAAACATGTATTTTTCAGCCACTCATGGATCTCCTTTAAATCTTGGAATGTACTTGGTGCACCTTGGTCTGGACTGTTTCTAATTAACTCCTTGGAAATACTTCTTCCTTGTTACAGGACAGAGATAGGCTCCATAAAAAGAGGAAATCATATCTCAAAGAGCAAGTGACCCAGCAGTTAAAAACATAGTTAAAAAGTCACATGCCACACATTTAGTGCTACTTAAATATAATTTCAAGCACTTACATCTGTAGAACTTCTTAGCAGTAAGACCAAGTAAGGCAATTTCTTTTTTTATCTGTAGACTATTCTGTACAGGTGAAGCATTGAATACTATGTTAATTTGTGCAATACCTTGGTTAAGCCAGCATACCTGAGTTAAATAGTAGCAGAAAGATTTAACACTTTTTAAACTAGAAAGCACAGAAAAGAGGAGTGCTGATTGCTTTCCTCTTCAAATTGCCTGCTGCAAGAACAAGCTCTTGGGTGATATCAAGGGAAAAGATTAAGTAGCCATTCATTGCTAGGAATTCCAGTATAGTTCTTGGAATGCCTTAAAAATAAAGCAGTTTCTTAAACTGATCCTTTTATCTAAATGGCATGTATAGCTAACAGAAACACAAAATGAGCTATTTCCTTCACCTGATTTGTATGGAAGCTTCAGAGTTAAGGCCCTTTGCTCTGACATGGATATGAAACTGGTCTTGAAGAGCAGGCAGCAATTTGGAGCTGCTGCGTCATGAGAGTTTCTTGTGAACATGAGGGTCTTTGTAGAACAGCAGTGACTCCCTGAAGAGCCCAGTGTTCCCAAAAAAATTTGAAGCTCCTCTTTTCTTCTATTACATCCTCCTCCTCTGTCTCCTCCTTCTTTTGAAAATGAGAAAAATCAAGGCAGGGTGGTAAAAATTTGCATTTTGCTCTGAACAGCTGAAATGGCATTTGTGTAGTCATGATGTCCTAGTATGTCATGGAAGTCAGCCACTGCTTTGCCAACAACATGCTGCTCAAATACTGCTTGCCCTCTGAGCTGCTGCATGAGCTGTGTGTACATGTCCACTTGAACATAACTTCTCAGTTTTGGTTTTGCTGACATGGTGAAAGTTGGGCAAGTTCAGGATGACAACTTGATTTTTCAATGATTTTCAGAGCTTGAAAAAAGCATATATGAAGAAAGTAATACTTTAAGGAATGATAGAGCTGCATGTGACATGGAGGCCCTCACTTTTATGCCAGTACAAACATTACTAAGAAATGAGCAGTGACTCTACACTGTTCAGTGAGGCAGATCTTATTTCTCCTGGAAGAGTTGGATAACAACAGTTGTGCAGTTCACACGAGCAGCAGGACGATCGTACACATGAGAGAAATCCTTCAAGGGGCTACAGGCACTTATGATCCTGCTGTTCTGCTGGAGGGCTCTGTATATTATACAATCCTCACATTCTTGAATTCCAAAAAGCATGGTTACACCTCACTGTCTACTGTCTATTTTTCAGCACATTGTACTTCATGCTAAGCTGGCTTTAGGTCATCACTAAAACATAAAGACAATTCAGTCTTTTCAATTTTTAATATGAAAAGCTTAATAGTTTTGATATACTTCAGATGCTTTTGATTTGTAAAGAACACTGCATCAAATGTGGTGATACAGGTTTTATTTGAATGCACTCTAAAGTCACTTGTGTGTAAATCAAGAATTGATTGGTAAATTAAATTGCCTAAGCCATGCCAGCTGCAGCAGAGCTGGAAATTGCAAAAAGCCTGTAATAAAGTGTTGCAGACAAGTTATCTCCTTTCTTTCATCAGTCTGAGCTGTAGCAGCAGCAAGCACACAAAATCTACTTGATTTCACCACAGAGCACACTTAAGTGCAGTTCTCAAACTGTACTGTCCTTGAACCATCTGGGGTTCATGGCGTGAAACCTCTTACATTCTTCAGCTTATAAGATTGTTTTGCTACTGCTGCAGTGGCTGCCACTGTTTGCTTTGCAAGTTGCTGCTTTCAGTGTTCAGCACACCCCCCCCAGTAGCTTTGGTCAAAGTGCTTACATAAACTGAAGCCTAATAGCAATAAAGGGGAGGCATCCAATTTTCCCACCTTTGAATTTCTTTGAATCATGGATAATTGTGTCTTTGGAACTTGAGGGGGGAGAACCCACAACAAAAAGAGAAACTGTTCTGTAAGTTCTGGACCTTATGATACACAGGTCTGAACTAATCACAAGCACTATACAAAATGGAATTTTCTTTCTTTTTTTCTTAAATATTTGTCTAAAGTGCCTCCTTTTATTTATTTTTCTTTTCTGAGAAGCTCATGGCATTGCTCAGTGATGCATTTTGCCTTGCAAGAAAGGGGTAGGCAGATCATTATTTGTAAGCTAGGCATCACTGAGGTCCAGCCTCTTCCCCATGACTCACTGCAGCTCCTGGCTGATGGCATGGCTCATCTACTCCTACCTACTTCCTTGGTCTCTTCAGATGTTTGCTCATCTCCCACTTGTCCCTGGAGGCCACTTTGCACAGCTCTACCTGGTTTCATTCAACTTTAATCTGTTCTGCCCTCAGTTTCTGTCATGTTCCTTGTTTGGTGGATGCTTTTACTTCACTCAGTATTTATGTAGAGCTAAAGGATGCTGTAACACAGCACTTGTTGCAGCAGCTGATGGGCATGGTTCCTTGCATACTGACATCACTGCCTTTAAGATCATTCTTCCAAGCAGCAGACAGAAGCTCAGGGCACAGGATTGTAGGATAGCATGGCAGCAACACTCCTTCCTCAGCTGAACTACTGCTGGTTTGGCTGACTAGCACAGGGAATAGTAATAGTAGAAATTAGGTGTGATAATCTGCACCAGCATCCTGTGCCTCTGACAGCACTAACAAAATTCTCAGGGGTACTGTAATAGGTGGATAAGCATGGCTCTGGGCCTCAACCAATCCCAATTCCAGGGATATAGCTCCCCTGGGGGCTGTGAATATACCTGTGTGTGTCCATTGCTCCCATTGCTATGTTTGACAAGCACCAAACTCAAAGCTGAGTGTGGTCTTGGGGGGAGAGAGAGAGAGACATGTGCTTTAGCTACAGTCACACCATGGATGGCAGCAGGAACAAACCAGATGTGCTGAAAACAGCATGGCAGGGCTGTCACTGCTGCTGGGAATGCCTGGCAGATAAAAACAGCTTGCAAAACAGAGGAAAAATGAAAACCTGGTTTACCTGTTTGAATATATGTTAGGCAGCTTTTTTATCCTTCTCCTTTTCTTCTCCATTTTTCAAAATACACCCAAAATTCACCCAGCTTGATGACTGTTTTACCATTACCTCTAATAACCCCAAAGTCATGGCCCTTTCATGCTAGCATTTTCCTATGCTCTATTTCTTCTGAGCTTGCCCCATTCCATCTCTTTGCCTGTGTCCACAGCTGGGGTTTCACATCCCAGCATCAACTAGAGCCTGAAGACACTGCTGAGCAGATGGTGGAGCTGCTTCTTGCACAGCCCTGCTGCTGTCCTGTGGCATTTTGCTTCTGTACAAGGCAGTGGCTCCCAGCATATCAGCTGTGGATGTGGAGACCAGACCTAGGGTAAAGTAAACCATGTTTGTTGGTTAACTTTCTGGGAGAAAAAGTCCTCCCCTTGTGTGCAAGTATGTGGTGAAATTAATGTAGATACAGGCTGAGAGAGGAATAAGGACAAGGTGGGGATGGCAGGAAATTGCAGTGTGTTCATTAGCATATGAAGAGGGCTATATTTATACCAAGTGCAAGGAAGGCAGCATGATCAGGTGGGCATTTAGGAAGGTATTTACATTTCCAGGAAACCATGGCAGAGGCTTTTCCCTAGAACTGCATGTGCCTCTGGTGTTCCTTTTGAAGAAACCCATATTCCTTCCTTACCACAGATGAACTCAAACATGCTTGAGAAAAGTCCAAGTCTAAAAATTCAAGAAACTTGGATCAAGCTGCTGACTTTACTACCAGCTGTGTGTGCACAACAAACCACTTTGCTTTCATATGTTCTGAAACAAAGACTACAGTGAAATAAAGATGTTACCTCACCCATTCCTTGGGACATGGGTCGCTTTTATCAGAGATCCCTGGGTAATTAGTGCAGTGCTCCTACTAATGCTACCAAAATAAAGTAATTCTCAGTTGAGGAATTCCAAGATTATATTTTAAAGTGGAAACTCAGCCTCCTTGGAGGCACTGTGAGCCTGGCAGCTGGTCATGGTGATGATGTGTCCTGTTTTGTGTACCTTTAGATATACAGTTCAGCCTGTTGTGGATCTTGAAAGCTTAGAACTAAGAATATTGATTTATAGAGTTTCTAAATTGTCACTGAAATTTTAGGAGTGTATTAAAAAAAAAAAAAAGAAAAAGCTTTTATTGAACAGTATCTGTCTCTTTAAGTGACATTTCCTGTGGAGTGACATACTCTTCACTGTAAGAAAGCTAAGAAGCCAATCAATATCTGTGTATAAAGTATTTCTAGAGATCTGTTTTGCCAAACCTTACATCATCCTCACTCAGGAAGTTTGACTATTACAACCTGTATTTCAAGCAGGATGGAATGGAAGAAAAGAAAAAAAGTAGCCAGAAGTCTGTGCTGGAGTTGCAGTGGAACTGGTCTTTCATTTACAATTTTTAACCATTCTATGGGTTCAATCTGAGTTGAAGGAGTACCTTCCAGTCTACTGGCAATTTTATGTGCCAGCCACCACAGACATGCAAGACCCCAGGTTTGGAAGGCTTGTGCTTCTCTTGCATATATGCACCAAAGACAGCACACTGCTGAGTCAAAATAAGATAGTACAGGTATATTTGAAATTCACTTTATTAACTAAGATTTTCAGTCCTTGTTTATAGACATGAAAAAGAACCAGATCCAAAAAACTGTATTTAAAAGGTTGGAATCAGAAGTAATTAAGGCTTAAAGTGACTCTATAACCATACGCACCCAACCTACATAAGTACAGATCCTCAAGAGGTTTGTGCTTAGTAGTTAGCCTAACTCCTGCCTAATATATTGGTACCTTGAAATGTAATAAACATTTACAGTGAGAAGACTTCATTGCAAAAAACTGATTCTTTTCAGTCAAAGTTTTAGCACAAAATTGCATGTTTCTACTTCTAGAGGAAGGTGTCCCTGTGTCAGGCTAAATACTGACAACCTCCCACCCCTGCTTCCTACTTCTCCTTCCACACATAGCTCTGTGACAGCAAGCCCCTGCTGAAAAGGGCAGCATGTGACAGTGCAGGTCACAGCAGCTCCTTGGTGTGGAGGGGGAATTATTTCTGTGTTATGTGAGACGAATCACATTGTTCTGGACAGATTCTCTGTGAAGGAATGTGACAATAAGACTTGCATTAGTTTGCACTGTTGCTTATGCTGCCCGGCTCAATGAATTTTATGGCTGAACAAAGCACAAGCTATCAGTGGATCAACTTTTCAGGCTCCTGTGTTCACCCCTCTCTCTGAATGGGCCTGGCTGCCCCAGTCCTTGGGATGCCCCAGATGGATCCCCATTCTTCTGGGCTGGGGAATGTACAAAGCTCACCCAAAGACTTACAAAGCTGCCTTCATAAAATGTTTGGCCCCAAGGACTGTCACCTGTTCTTATTTAAAGAGCACTGTGAATTGCAAACCTCTATCACTGACCCTGAGGGTTTTCAGCCTGGCTTCACTGTCCTGTGGTTATGCACATTGCTCCTGCTGTCCTGTTTCTCTAACAATGTTTGTTTCCTTTTTGCTCATTGCAGAACCCCTTTCTCCTCCCTCTTTTGCAGGAGCCTTGTACCCTCCGTGCACCCCAGCCCCACAGCTGGTGTGGGCTCACCCTCCAGTGCTTGGGCCAACACATCCCAGGTGATGTGGAATGGCATATCCTCAGCTGGCAGCAAAAAAAGAAGCTAAGACAGGAGATCGGGCAGAACACAATGAAGTATCATGTGGGAATGGCTTTTCCATGTTACACCGGTTTCTGCATATAACAAAAAATACCTCTTTCCTCCCAGCCTGCCATTTTCCTCTCGTTTCTTTCTTTCTTCTCCTAGCTTCAGGTTATCTCTCTTCATGACCTCTCTGAAGCCACTGTGGTTAAAACACAGGGTAACTTGTTTTTTACCTGGGTACCACACTTTGATAAATTTAGAAAAAATCGAATCCTCTGCAGGCTGTGAGTTTCCCAGCTATTTTAGATAACAACTCCAGATAGTTTCCTTAAACTGCCAAGGATTCTGTCAGTTTGCATCCAAGGGAATGACTGTCAGCATGGACCCTGGAAAAGTTTGGGATGGAGCAGTGCAGGTTCTTCACTGGCTCCTGCTGGAGCTCCCCCAGCCTGGCTTGCTGCTCTGCTTGGGAGCACAAGGAGCTCTGGAACTGGCCTTGCACCTACTGGGCTCATGGAGACAAACCTCTGCCAGAATCAACCTTTGCACACAAGAATTTTTAACAGAAAATTTCTTTACCAAACTCCTGAGAGAGCCTGACCCTTCTCTCTTGGAGTTAACAGTGAAGCTCCTGCTTCATTTCAGTGAAGGGCAGGGTTGACTTTTCCATCTGTGTAGTACTCAGGGAGTACTGAGGTAAAGACTGGCAAGCCTGACAGCTGCAAAATCGTGCTGTTTAAAAAATGGAACTTTATGAATGTTTGTTCTCATTATAGAAAATTCTTGGGTTTTTTTCACTACATTCTGCTTGTTCTCCTGGGCTCTGTAACCCATTACTGCAAAAGAGGCAAGACTAAAAGCAGAGACCAAGGCATGCTCAGGAAAGTATTACAAGGATTAGACTGCATTTGTGCACACATGCTTATAAAGCAAAGATGTAAATATATATTCACTTGCATCTTCCAAGAGAGCCATTCATGACAGAAGTGTGCATACACTATTGGTGATTGTTTGGAATTTTTATTAGACACCAGTCCATATACTGAAGCATTTTCTCAGACATTACTCAGGAAAAACTCACAGCTTTAACATTATAGTACTTAAATACATGAAAATCCATAATACATTACACAGTGGTTTTCTTTCAGCACAAAAGTTACAATACTTCTGTTGTCATGAGGGTCTACAAAAGTGTATAACTTAAGTGTTTTAAAAATACATTCTTAGTAACTTTTGGACATGCAGCTTCAAATCCACTGTAAGAGACTTAACCTCCTTTGCCTCAAAAGAAAAACAGGATTCTGTTTCCAGCCCAGAATTCATTAAACACTTGATCAAATTTCTGTTGTTTTGCATTTGCCCAGCTATTTCTTGAATTTCAGAACTTCTCAGTATTTCTAATAACTCAGGATAGCCATTCCAAACTGAAGGAATCTAAAAAGTTTTTCTTGGACAAGAGTTGTCACTAACCAGAGTTACCAGATTCAGAGAAGGAATTTAGGCTTGTCCAATAAAACCAAGATCCTGGCCAGTATTTGATTGTGAAAAGAAGTTCCATAAAGTATTTAAAGGGTAGTAAAAAGTTCATCTCATACCTATCACGTTGATAATGTGTTAGTAGACAAGGTTTCAGTAATTTTTAATTATTTTTTTAAAAAGGGCTAGAATGCTTTCTTCTTTCTTTTTCTTTCTCAACAACATACACAAAAGCAATATCCCCCAAAACAGACTTGCACTAGGACATGAGATGGAAAACTTATGTTATAAAACCCATCTCCTTTTGCTTAAAGCAAAGAGATGTGCTGAGAAACTGGTACAGTATGACAACATTTTAAACACAGAGGAGACGAGATTTATCTGGCTGGTATACAATATAAAACAAAAATCGAACACCAATGTTACAGTGCTATATTGAAACAAACCACATTAATTAGATGCTTTGAAGTCAAGCCTATATTTTCTTCTGCTTTTTCATGAATTATTGATCCACTTTCCTCATTAAATGGAATGGCAGGCTCTTGCAGTAAATGGACAAGTGGCTACAACATTTATATAATCAAATATGCTCTGCATCTGGCAATAAAACATGTTTGTGTGTAAAACATGCTTTCTGAATTGACATCCCTGCAAAACAGATTTACTAGAACAACCACATTCCTTTTCTTTTGTCTCTAAAGCACAGCTTGCCTTGCATCATCATGCAACCCAGTATTCTACTCTGATCGTATAAAGCAAAATATTTTCCAAGAGCCTGTATTGTGCATTGTGCAACAGAACATTTCCTCTCTATAAAGAGATGTAAATAAACTGTCTCACTTACCTTATTTTCTCCATTTCTGCCGCAGAGGCCTACAAGAAATCAAATAATAGGAGCAAGTGAATGAAAGAAAACATTCACTCTGCAGATTTATGCATAGTTAAGGCTTTCCGAATGCTTCTCGGCAAGTGGCTGCAAAGCGCCGGCCAGCGAGCCCCACATCTGCATTAGCCGAAAATGCCAGCGGCAGCTGGAGTGGGGAATAGAGGCGAGCGCGGTGGGAGCCCGGAATACCCACGAGCCATGGGCACCGGAATGACTCAGTTGTAGCGCTGAGGCAGAGAATGGGGAGGGGAAAAAAAGAAGAAGGAGAAGAAGAAGGGAAGGAAAAAAAAAAAAAAAAGCCAAAAGCAAGCAGCAGCAAGTAACAGGTTAGTGAGCCTCCTGGGTTTCCCAGGGAAAGTTGAATTGCGGTGCTACCCTGTGCGCGGTGGGCATGGCAGCGGGCTGGGCTGGCGGGGATTGACAGTGACTTCATCACACGTGAATCCGGAGCTCAATTCATCATCTTTCCCTGAGCCCGACAGATGGAAGGACACCAGCTTGCCTCCTTAGTGGGAGTTTCGAGTAATCAAATTACTTTCCTCAAGTCATACACTATCTTGACAATTAGCATCTCAATGCACGGAGGCGTCTGGTTAACCCTTTGGCTGCTGCTGCCCCGCCTGAAGCTGCCGGCCCCTGCCCCGCCGGGCTCCGTCACCCCCGGCTCTCCCTCGGACCGAGAGGATCTCCTCGCATCCTCACAGAGCCGCCACGGCCCTGGTCGTCATTTCATCAACCTGCCTCCGTTCTTTTGACCGTATAGATGCTGTAAATTCCTGCTTGTCTATAGCGCTCATTAATTCCTCCAGCATTACTTGTTAGCATAGTCTTGTTAACCCTTTGGTTTCTTTTTTGTCATTATATCGTGCAGATCCTAAGTGGCTGCTCCCATTTAATTTTAGCACAGCGCTGGCACAGAATCTCATCAATTCTCCCAGTCCCGCTTTATTGTAACTAAGGAATGAGCACTCAGAGCAATCCTGCAATCTCTAGAGCCAGATAAATCCCAGCATCACAGAATCTCTTATTTATACTGAAAGCATTGGTCATTAATCATGAGCACTTTAAACCTTATTGATTAATGGCTAACAATCATATTTGAGTATGAAATAAATTAAAGATTAAAAATAGAGGATGTAAATTTAATCAGTTACCAGCAGGAAATTTGTCAAACTGCCTAATAAAACATCCCAAATGACAAATTGTTGGTCCTTCATTGGGTCACTTGTCTTCCCTTTTTCTCATTTACTTTTGATTTGCCCATGAGAGAAGTTGTCTGTCAGGTTGGTGTTTGCACAGCAATTTCTGATGTCAAACATTAAGGATTTTAGCCATTCACCATAGGCAGGAAGTCAGCTGCAGGAAAAACCCTCCTCAGCTTCTCAGTAACATATTTAATGCTTGTTTGCATGGTCCTTGCTATGTAAACATGTATTACATATGTGCTGTGTTGGAACCACAAGGGTGTGTGTGGAATCTTGAAATTAAAAATGCAACGTAAGACCCATTAATTTGTGTCTGTCCATTGAATCCTGCATATTCTGTAGTACACAGGAAATAGATTCAACACTGCTGAGCAGAAAATGAACGACAGAGGCTTTCTCCCTGGGCATAAGAGAACTGGCAGACCCACTTGCTTGACTCTTCAGACATGAGCTCTCCAACGCTGCCCTGCTCATCATGTTCCTTTAATTTTTGAGGAGATGACAGTCCCTTTGCATGGCTACTCACTATTTCTTTGCCTTGAACTCTGGGAGTCTCTGTGAAGACTTACAATGTCTGATTTCAGAGCTTCCATTATGGCAAAATCTGCAGACATCAAGGGAAGATACCTGGCCTTGCTTTTGCCTAGTGCTTTGAATAATGCTGCACTCTTGGGGTCAGTGTGGGGGTTGCTTTGTGTGATTAAATCAAAGTATTGAGAAGAAGAGCTGTAGACTAATGTTTTGGTGATACTCATCTGTGAATGCAAGTGAGTCATTGGCTGCCAATCCTGACAGGAAATTAGTAGGGAGAAAAAAGCTCAGCAAATGCCTAACACCAATTCAAACAAGAAAACTAAACCAAGCTGCAATTACTTTTCTTTTTTTTTTTTTTTTTTTTTTTCCTGGTAGGGCTGGGTTTTTTACCTCCTCACAGAAAAAGCTCTTTGTTCCATGTAATATGGCCAATTTTCCTTCGGACCATTGAGGATGTTCTACTCTGCCTTTCCCTGGCAGGTTGTGCAGTAAAAGGATGTCTCTTCTCTGATGTGGAAACTTTGGGGTCAGATCAATCCTCCTCGAGGAGGATGCTCTGCCCCAGGTCAGAAGCTTCTCTGGGCTGCAGCACTGCAATGCTCCATTACATCTTTTGACAGGGATCCACTTCCAGTAAATAAATAGGAGCACAGAACAGGACTAGATGTATGTTCTTCAGCAGATTGCCCTGGCTTTCACCCTAGGGAGTCAAACGAGTGTGCAGATACAAGAAGTGGTGAAAACAAAGACAGGAGCATCTGTAGAAACATAGCTTTCATCCCAAGCAGTTTATTTTCTCAGATAGCTGTGTCCCTTAGAAAAGTAATTTTGTATCCCCTTTTTTTCTTTTTCTTCTTCCATTTCCTCCTCTTCTCCACATTTAATTTTTTTCTTTTTTCCCCCCAAAAAGCTTTAACAACTCAAAACTATTTTAAAAGTCTGTAGTTTTCTGAAAAAGCTCTGTAATTACAAGGTGACATTTTTATTAAGGCAAAATTGCTGCTCCTAGCCAGATCCCTGCCATTGATTTAGCCTGTGGAAGTTTAGAGGTTGCATCATCCTCCCACTGCTGTCTATGAAGGCTCCTATCTGAAACATCTTACTGAATTGATTTAAAAATATAGTCTAAACAGTTCTGAATTGGCCACTTTAAGGACAAATCTTGTCCCTAAAGTCTTACGGGACCTATTTGAAGCAGACAGACTGAAGTAAAGGCTGGTGCAAGAATGTCCTTAAAAATGGTAAGTCATCCATAAATTGTTGTTTGCTAGTGTGTTGATTCATTTCAAGTGAGTCTTGATGCCTAAACTAAGCAGTGATTGAAGCTGTGTGATTTTTAAAATTAAATGTTTTAAATTAAGATCAGTAATTACCTTTAATTATAAAAATATCAGATGTGATTTATTTACATGGAATTTTTTTACAATATCAACGCAGTATGACTAAAGAATTTATTTAATTGGCCTAAAAATAACAATTTTTGCTTTTAATAAAAAGTTTGGCCTGAGTAACTCAATAGGATACATTTCTATATACAGTCTCTTTACTTAAAATACTGAGACTTGAAATACTGAGGTTTGAAGATTTTAATTTTTGCAGACATGGTGTGGCAACTATCCCTGGAAGCACTTTTGGGCAATGACTAATAACATTGATAGAAACCTAATATTTTTCCAAGTGTTTGAAGGAAGAAAATGTGATACACAACTACCAAGACTCACCTTTTTTGGACGTGTTAAATATTTAAAAGTCCATTTTGGAGTGGATATTAAAATAGAAGCCAGTTACTTTTTTAAAAAATATATATATATAATTCCCCACGCCTCACTTATTCTATATTGCAAGTTGACATTCTTTGATGTTCTTTGAGAACAAAGTCATTTGCTGGCTTGCATGAAAGCATGGATGCTGTTAATGGAAACCCCAGGAAATTTAACTGAGCTTTTTTCCCTCTTTAGAACAATAGTTATTGCCATTTAGACAGTATGACAACCTTTGGATTGTTTTCAAGTTAGCAGAGTGAATGAAGGATACTATGATTCCCTGATTTTCTTCAATCTTTCCTTGTTTCATTAATGAGTCAAACAAGCTCAAGACAATGGCAGAATATTCTTAGTCATTAACATCCACAAAGCTTAGTATGGTGATCCAGTTATTTGGGGTTTTTATGTAATCAGTGTCTATAGCATTGATTATTGAACCTAAATATTTTTAAATTAAAAAGTCATGCTGAGGGTCTATCATTCTATTTAGTTCACATTGTGTTTATGCTTTATTTCCTTTATGGTCCCTTTTTGAGGGATAAGCAATAATGAAATTTCAGATCTTTCAGATGTCTAAAGGAATTTCCTTCTTCTAAGATGTTGAGGTTAATTTTCATCCTTCTGCATCTGCCCGAGGTACATGTGAAAAAGAAGTACCCTGGAGGTGAATTTTTTCTTTTAGTTATTATCTTTTGCTTTCTTAGAAAACGCTTTTTATATTAGAGGGAGGGACTGGACCCAGGGTCTGGCTCAGTGCTCACCAAGTCCTCCCACTGTGTTCAGTGACTTTGGAGTTGTACATTGGCTTGTTGCTACCAAAGGTACCAGAAAAGAAAGAGTAGCAGGAATTTGCTGCCACTCATTTATTCTTACTGTTTACTCAGGCTTGTTTATTATTGTGGAAGTTACTTTTATTTCTTTGTTGAGGAAAGCTGTAAATGAGAGCTCATTCACAATTACAGTTGTCTGGACTTCTAGCACATTTGTAAACAGCCACATGTTTCCAATCCAATTATATTACTTCAACATTCTTTTCTGCTTCCTGTTGTACTAAAGTTTTATTGATAGAAAGTACTGTGGTCCTTTTTCCTTTATTTTCCTACAGAGTACAAGAGTTAAAGATTTGATTTAATAAAAATTATGGACTACATAATTTGATAGGATCAATCTTTAATTAGATGTTAATCAATTTTTAGAGATTTCTTTTATTTGCTTTAAAGTACCACTCAGGCAATGCCTGAAGAAAGACTAAAGTTTAATCTACAGAAACTTAAAAAGAGCTGGAGGAAGTGTCTATTTCCATTTGATTGTATTGAATGTATCTGATAGATGTTTACAAAAGAAGGATCATCTTCCTGTAAAACTCTTGCCTGAAATTTTTGTGGAGGTACATAGAAAATTGAGTCCAAGTCTCCGCAGTTGCCACTGTAATAGATATTTTGCTCAAAAAGCATGTGTTCCCACCATGGGCCAT